ACACATCTAGATGTGTATAAGAGACAGGGGCCGCAAGGCACACCCTCATGGGTGAAAATGGAGGCAACTCTATGTGTTTGTCGGTTAACTTTGGGGCCATTCTTAAAGGCAATTTCGAGTCATGCCTATAAAATTCGACAACATACTTCCAGTTAATTTCGTTGCCGTCAATCATCAATACCTGTCTCTTATACACATCTAGATGTGTATAAGAGACAGCAGTTTTGATTGCCTAACGGCACCATCATTTTGCTGCACATTACCTGTTTCAAAGCAGCCCTAAACTCATGGGCCATTGGGTTAAATCTGTGACCTCCCTTCCCTCTAATTATTGAAAACAAATTTTCTAAACAGACCTGATTTAATCTATTGGTTAACATAAAGCCGAAATTGTGATTATTATTGAGCTCAATGAATAATTCAATCATGGCTGTTAATGTTACCACCCACCCATTTAAGCATGCAACTTTTGTTGTTGAAACCGTCTTTAACCTTAATTTTTTTTTATCCAATCTCTTGAATCTTTCCAGAAATTTAAGTGAGTTGAATTTGCGCTAGCTGCCGTCCTGTAGATAATTTTGTCAAATATATTTCTTGAATTGCACGAATCAAATATTTGGTCGAATTTGGAAATGAATTCTGCAGTGTGCACAGCTTCTGCAGGGATCTTTCCGAGAGCAGCGTAAGTTAATACGCCAGCGGCCACACTGTGACTTAAGACCTGGGCCGCAAGGCACACCCTCATGGATGAAAATGGAGGCAAGTCTATGTGCTTGTCGGAACTTTGGCGCCATTCTTAAAGGCAATTTCGAGTCATGCCTATAAAATTCTACAACAAACTTCCAGTTAATTTCGTTGCCGTCAATCATCAATACGTGGCTCTTAAAATTATTACATATACTTTTGAGCAAATGGGGAGGATCGAACATAAAGAAGATCTTGTAATTATCACTCCCATCGCCGAAATTGTAGGTTATATAGGGCTTTTCGGCAGTTATGCCTAGCGCTGTAAACATACTGCGGTTGTTAGAACCCTGATCTGCTATTACTACCTTTACCATTAAGCCAGTGGCATGTAATCTATTAATACAATCCATTAACAGAAGTTGTAGTGTGGTACCTGGGGTAGCGCCGGAAGCAAGAAAGTACCCCAATGGCTGCTTCCATTTGGAAGACATTCCGCGGGCCATAAAAACCAGTGCCCGCGTCGCAACTTTTTGTGTTTTTCCCGGGCTCCCGTAATCTTCTAATCCCTCCATTACATCTTTATGTTGGTCATACGTTAACCCAGCCTTTAGACTCATTTCGTCGATGGTGAGGACACATACTTTCTCTTTTGGGCCGAATGTAGAGCAGCGTAATTTAAGCGATTCAAACGTGGAATTATTGAACCCTGGCTGGATCTCAATTCGCCCTAGCCACTTTTGAAGGTTTTTCTCATGAGGGAGTGCAAAGTATCGCCTGCAAAACCTATAAGCTCGAGAAGACTGATAGTGTATTGTCTGTCATCTTTGCTGTAACGTCTGCCCTTAGTCCGTCGCCTACAGTTCTTAAGTTGGCTGGAAAAGAAAGCTAAAGCTTTACCGCTCATATACTTTCTGCACTTTTCAAATACATATTTTGTGGGATCATCTCTTACATATAACTTCTTCATTTTTTAAATTTTGCCTTCAGCCTTGTGATTTTTGTTCTGTTACGTTTATCTCTTGCCATTAATTTCTTGTACTTTCTTGTAATTGCTTCTTGTTCAGATGATGATCCTTAATGAGTAACAAACAGAATTAAAAATAAATATCTGAATTATTTAGTACAAAATGTAAAATGATAATGCCATTCTATTTTACAAATTATACGTATTAACAGTTTTAATCTCAAAAGCTCCTACGAGTACAGTATAATAGAGGCAGTAAATCTAAAAAGATATATTACTTAATCAGTCGGTTGTTTCTATATCTCCTCATATGAGCTAAAAATGCAAAAACCGGTAAAAACAGAAGAACACAATCGCTGTGGCGCAAAAGAGGGTGAAAAATACTACAAAAATCTAACCTGAATTATTGTGTCTGGATTGTGATCTATCTCTTGTTACAGAATCATCAGGAGGCTTTTCATAAACGCCCGGATCATCCGCCAAAACTGAATCCATAATAATTATAAAATAGAAATGTACTTGTATTTAGCGAGTTGGATACTGTGGGTGGGTTGCTTTTATAATTCAGTACACAACTCCTATCTCCCTCATTTTAAGCCCTCTGAACTATAAATACTTCGCAATAAAAGAAACTACAAAATTCAAACCTGAATTAATTTTGCTAGATTGTGATCCATCTCTTCTTGCAGAATCATCAGAAGCCTTATCATAGACGCCGGTCTCATCCGCTAAAACTGAATCTATATATTATAAAATAGTTTGAAGCTTATGACTTAATTGTTAATCAATAACAACATCGGGCCAACGGTAGTACCCAACCATCTTTTTAGTAGTTTGCCGACGTCGGGCCAGTAACAAATCGTGACGTTGTACCAACGTCTGTAGTCAGACTGAATATTTACGACGGCTTACCAACGTTGGGACGACATCGGAAAATCGACAGATATATTCATACGTTGGGCCAACGTGAAATTCCAATGTTGGTTTGACGTTACCTCTCCGACCAAATTTTGCAACCAAACACCAACGTCGTACCAACGTCAGATATCCGACCCCGACGCATGCCAACGTTTACCAACGTTGGGCCAACGTCGCTTTGCTAGCTAGGTGAGTTGTGCTCTAGTACTAAAATACAATACAATACAATATCATGCGATGCTTCGCAATCCAGATTAGGCGCAGTTTTAATGCAAATGGAAGTCCAATAACATATGCGTCCAAAGCACTAACGACGACAGAGTATGCACACGCTCAGATAGAAAAGGAGCTATTAGCGATTGTATTCGCATTCAGAAAATTTCATTCATACGTATATGGAAGAAGCGATATTACAGTTGAGACAGACCACATGGCACTAGTCACAATATTGGATAAACCATTGCATCAGATTCCGTTGAAATTACAGAAAATGGTCTTGTGATTACAACAACACTCGTTTAAGTTAAGGAAAATCAGGAGAAGACATAACGGTGCAGGCGCACTAAGTAGAGCATTCATATCGGACACCTATCCAGGTTTGGTAGATAACCAACAAGATTTTTTTTTAACGGAGGTTAAGAACATATCAGCATTTAGTGATGAAAGAATTAAGCAACTGAAGGAAGCGACAACACCAAGCGTTGCAAAAAGTAATCACTACAATACAATCGGGTTGGCAAGAGCACAGATGGCAGGCGCAGCCAGAAGTGAAACCATACTTTGAATTTCAAGAAGAATTAGCAGTAGTAGACAATATTGTATTTAAAGGAGAAAGGGTGGTAATACCGGCAAACATGCAGAAAGAAATGCTTGATTTATACACCAAAGTCATCTAGGAGTAGTAAAGTGTAAAAAATCAGCGAGGGTTATCCTATTTTGGATAGGAAAGAACAAAGAGATAGAAGATAAATTATCACGATGCAAGCGAACAGAAACTACCAATGGAAAGAACCAATGCAAACGAGCGAAGTTCCGTCACAACCATGGACAGTCATTGCAACAGATTTATTTGACTACCTGGGAACACCGTTTGTGATAGTTGTTGATTAATATTGAGTTTTTTGAGATAGAGAAACTTGAACCAGATACAACAATCCAAACAGTAATTGGGGAAATGAGTAAAATATTCGCAGTGCATGGAATCCCAGAGAAAATAGTAACGGACAATGGTCCACAGTTCAGTTCTCATGAGTTCACAACATTTTCACAACATTTGCATGAAAATGGAAATTCCATCATTGTACATCTAGTCCAACATATCCGCAAAGCAACGGGATGGCCGAAAGGGCGGTAAAAACAGCGAAGCGTATAATGCGAAAGTGTAGCGAAAATCAAGAGAACATATATCGCACTATTGAACTAGAACGTGATTACCAACAACAAATCTCTTCTAGAACCTGAAGAACATAAAGAAAACCGAGTGGTGCAGAACAAATTGAAAGAGTTCAGAGACACAGCAAAAATACTATGATCCAGGATCATAAAAGAAGAAGAAGATAGCGTGCGAATTAGAACACAAAAGAAAACATGGGAACAAGCAGAGCTTTTACCACAACATTACCAACAGCATCAACCAGATCTTACAGAGTAAAAACGCAATGAGGAAGAATATACAGAAGAGACAGAAGAGATCTGCTAAAAACAAAAGAAAATGGAAGAAATAGTGTAAATACAAATAATAACCAGATCAAAAGCAGTAACAGACAAACGCCTGTAGACCAACGATCCAAATCAAAAGTAATCACTCTAAATCAATAATTAAGCAAACTAGTGAACATGTAACTAGAAGTGGGAGATTCATAAATAAACCCACAAACTACAGATATTATCATACATAAGTAAATATTCTTAGAAATATAAAGAAGTGTTAAAAATGTTTAATTGATAAATGACAGTAGTTGATTGCGAGACAGTATAATTGGAGTTTAAAGTTTTTTTGAGATGTTAACTGTTAAGTACTAATCAATGGTAATGATCAGAATATGAATAAGTGATTGATATAATTCACAGTAAAAGAATAAGAATGAATGAGTAATGACGACATTGAAATATAATCCCTAAGTAATTAATATGTACATGATATACGAATCATATATGATGAACAGTGATAAGTGTGTAAACGGAAGTTAATAGTTTTATTCTTAAAAGGGAAGATGTTATGTATTGTGTTATGGCGCCCCCTACATCTGAATAAATGCAGTTCTGTTGTAGTTCATAATGACCGTTGTCTGAATTACCTGTGTCTCACGAGTTGAGATTAGCAAATATAGCAAGACATAACAACCACCACCACAGCATTACTACCTTTACTACTACTACTACCACTACGTAAAATATTACTAAATTTTCTTTTCATTTTTATTTTCTGCAGATCAATGTTTGATGCATAAAATTAAGCAACGTTATCCAGAATTGTCACCAGAAAGTAAGCTGGTTAGTTCAACTGAAGTCATTGACGCTTGCAAGACTAACCGAATTCCATTTCATCACCACCGCCAAGAGGGATATGCTGACATCTCAAGGCTTTATTCGCACAGCTTTACACGAAACGAACATATGTTGGTAGATTTTTTGGTTGAAATAACAAATTTTAAGGAAAACGTATCTGAAGGTTTCTATGATGAAGTAATTGCATTCATCAAAAGCCAAGTTTGTTCAGAGACGACTGAAGGCAAAATGATGGTTCATGCTGATATTGATCTGATGTTTATCACAAAACAAGTTTAATCTTTGCTGCTAATAGCTACAACATGTAATAACTTACTCGCTACACAAAACAATATAATAACAGTGGCGGACCGTAGCGTTAATTGCAGGGTATGCTAGGTATTGGCATATCTAGGATTTGCGAGGGGCGCGCACGCCCCCTCCTCCCTGAAAAAAAATACTCGCCCATCCCTTAGTCGCACCCCCCCCCCAACAAATCATGCTCAAGTAGTTAAAAGTCACCTCAAATCACCTTATTTTGCGAGTTAGCCTCCTCACCTAATCAACGATCCCCCACCTTCCCACCCCTTCAGCTCTAGTGGCGGATCCAGGGGGGTTCAAGGGGTTCGGACGAATCCCCTCTGTGAAGAAATGTAACAAAATATATAGACTTGGTCCTGGCTTACAAAGGGCATGCTCACTTACCTAGCCATAGGTTGGCAGATCGCACAAACTAGGCTTTAGCCCAATTAGTATTCAATTAAATACAATTAAAAACATTGTTTTTAGCTCGATTGATCTATAAAGAAAGACTATTTATCCATGAACTACTAAATATTGTTGGAATATAGGCCTAATTAATAATGTATTGACTATATCTTTGATTTTCTTCTTGTATAGGCCTAAGAATGAGATAAAATCACTTGACCTTTTTTTTAAGAGGGGTAAAACCTTGAATTTCGAAGAAATTAAAGGTCATTGAAAGACGCCTCAGAAGTCGGGAAAGCTCATTTCCGGCCCGGATCTAGGAATCAAACGTTTTCCCGGGGGAGGACCCCCGACACCCATTTCATTTTCGGGTTTTTGGGAAAAATTTTGAAACCCCTCCTTCAAATCCTGGATCGGCCCCTAAGCTCCCTTCCATTTCAAAATACATATGTATGTTATTTTCAATACCGGCATGGTTGTAGTACCTTCTCTTCAAAAAAATTCCTATTCCTGTATTTTAACAAATTTCAATTCAATAATTCAAAATTTCTTCTATACAGGTCATATGTATGCAAATATATTTAAACTTTAATCATTGAGATTAGGCCTATAGATAGAATACCCGATCGGCAGTGGAGGTCCCGATTTGTGATATGAAGACAATGCGCACACATTCTTGGAAGCACCGCTCCATTCCAGTGTTAAGTTAGCTATTCTGACGCCACCACACGGTTGTAACAATAGTAAATTTAAGCGCCATTGAATCACTGAATACGTGATTGCTGATATTGAAAACCAGCCATGCTTAAGTTCTAAGCTAAGAGTACGATGCGATAGGCTAGGCCCGACTGTGACTAGATGCCAAAGCATTAATAAAATTGGTATTCCAATGAACTATAGCAATCAACTTGAAAAAATTAAGGTTTATGAAGATTTTGACTAAGAAATGCTACAGAAAACGGAGAAACTGTACTACTATATTTTTTTTATTTTTCAAAAATTTGTTTGAGCCAGGGTATGCACTGCATACCTTGCAACTGGATAATAATAACAAAATGATATATCTTAAATATGTTATTATAAAATTATTATAGTACCGTAGTAAAATTCCTCAATTTGAACTCTCGTATTATTAAGGGGACATTGCTATTGAGGAGTCTCATTAGATTTTGAGCACGAATATAAAAACTATATTTAGTATTCAGGCTCCTTATCCATGTTATCCACTTTTTATTTGTTCCCGAATACATATGCGTTCTACTGTATGTTGGCTATTTTATTCTGTTAGTGGCATATTAATATTTACTTTATTAAGGTTTTCAGTTTTCCGATTAGACAAATTTAAATTAAGTCGAACTGATAATGATTGAGCCAAACTGATGTTTAAAAAACGAATTAAAATGTCATTACGGTCTGTCTTGCTCATGAAGATCGATAATACGGAACCACTTACGAATTGTTAGCTTTAGGCCTAGACAGTTGACCTAAATTGAAAAAGTGAGGATTTGACTGACTGAAAAAAGTACAAACTGTAACGTTATTATAACGTAACATTGTTAGCTGTGTATACTTTTCCTGTATTGTATAGATCCTCAAAGAAGCACTGTTCTTCAAAGTTTTAAAAATACAAAACCTAAACATTTTTGAATAGCTTATATAAATGGATCAAAGCTATTAAAATTCAACCAGAGACAGATTTGTTTTCAAAAGGTAGGCCCTATTTGCTAATTTACAGACATTGTATTACAACGGTCCTTTTAATGACATGATGTCTCATGCCATCTTGAAAGTTGAACAGGAGTGGCGCCAGGATTTGCCTGAAGGGGTGGGAGGGGGTCGATGCCCCCGACGAGGGGTCAGATTTCCCCAACGAAAGTGGATGTGGGCGTGGTTGAGCTTCGATTAAAATGTTTCGAAAGTGGTTCAGGGACGGAGCCACCGAAAATTTTAACAATTTAGGGGTTTCAAGGGCTTATTTAATCGATTTTAGAGTCTACTAATATGTAGAATATAATTTTTTTCCCCCGACGAATTGTGCTTTTTCTCACAGACGGAGGGGGGAGGGGGTGGGGCGCGCAGCATTTCCCGACGGGGGAGGGCTGTGCACCCCCCGCTGGCGCCACCCGCTGGCGCCACCCCTGAAGTAGAAATATCCTTTCTGAAGTCCTGGGAGGGTTTAGGAAGAGCTATAGATGCGAACCAGATCTTTACTTTAAAAAGTATTGCTGCTTGTCGACGCAATAAGGGAAACACAACCCATCTAGTCTTCTTGGACTTCAGAAAGGCTTTTGACACTGTGTGGAGGGATGGCCTTCTTAAATCAGCATGGGATGTAGGCATCAGAGGTCGTGCCTGGAAATTAATTGATTTATTATATGAAGATGTAAAAGGAAATGTAAAATTTGGGGATATTCTGAAGGATGAATATAAAATACATCAGGGGATCAAACAGGGCTGTGTTTTGTCGCCCATATTATTCTGCATTTCATGAATGAATTTACCAAACTACTTAGATCCCATGATATTGGTGTACATATAAATAACAACTGGCGAGCCCTATTCTGGGCGGATGATGTAGTTTCACTGGCAGAAGATGAGCGCCAGTTGTTTAGAATGCTTGAGATTGCAACTAAATTTGCAAAACAATGGAAACTGAATTTCAATTATGAGAAGTCCAATGTCATGATCATAGATAAACGTAATAAAAACAAAGTTTGGAAATTAGGTGATTACAGCATAAATGAAACAGATACATACAAGTACCTTGGTGTACTTATTTCAAGAAATATGAATGATCATATTCATGCCGAATATATGTAATTAAGAAAGGAAATCGTCTTATCGGTTATATAAAATCAATTATCAATAGGCCTAATTTTAATAGAGTTACTATGGTAACATCCTGTTTCGAACGATCGCACTTCCATCTATCAATTACGCAATTGCGGTGTGGGTAAACGGAAGCAAAAGTAACCTTTAAAAAATTGAAAAGCTGCAAATGCAAATGGCGAGGTGTATTCTAAAGGCTCCAAGAAACACCCCGTTCTACCCTTTCGAAGACCTTGGATGGTCCCCCATCATCGACTCCCAGAACATTTTAAGACTAAATTATATCGATCGTATGATTAAAATGAAAGAAGATCATTGGCCAAAGCTGTTGCTTAAAGCCCTAACTGCATCTGAAAATATCAATAACTCGAGTTACAAATTACTGGGTTGTGTCGATAATATATTTCAGAAATGTAACAATGAGATTATTTTCCATTATATTAAAAATAATCAAGATATACCCAATCCTATATGGGCAGCTGAAATAAAACATGCTCTAAAACAAAATTCGTTAAATTGCTGGAAGGACGATATTAAAAGCAAACCTTCTATTGTAAAATACTCATTAATTAAAACGTCACGAAGTATGGAGGAGTACCTTCTTGATATTGTTTATCTTATTTACGTAATTTCTGCTTCAGCATGTTCCCCGTACAATAGTTAAAGAACAGGAAATCTGCATGTGCGATCCTAACTGATACCTACAGATATATCTATAGAGGTACTGATTTTGAAAGAGCGTCAATAAAATTTATGTTCCGTTCAAATACAAAAGATTACTTATGAGGTACAGGCATGCAATTACTGTATAAGCAATAATAATGACCTTTCTTTCCACAAGTTTATAGACAATGATTTGCTAAATTTATCAATTTCCACAATAATTTCATTTTCATATAATTCATTTTCATTGCCAAGAATAAAACATACCTTTTCTGTAGTCAAATTTATCCCAAACGTGGTGAAACATACACTTTTGTTTCAGTGGCACACAACAACTAATAGTTATACAAAACAATTATACAATATATATTGTTTTTAATTTAGTGGATTTTGCTTAAACACCGATACAGTACTGTATTCTTTTATTGTATAATTGTTTTGTATAACTATTAGTTGTTGTGTGCCACTGAAACAAAAGTGTATGTTCAGTTGAATAAATAAATAAATTGTATGGGAAACCAAGTTTTACATGATGCATTATTCTGTATTTAATTTAATAATTGGTCGTAAAAATATTGTTTATCTTATTTACGTAATTTTTGCTTCAGCAAGTTCATCAGCATGTGCGATCCTAACTAATACCTACAGATATATCTATAGACTAATTCCTTGGACATTATCTCATATCATATACAGTACCAGGTACTTATTGTACATGTCTTTATAGTAAAACAATGCACTGGGTATCAAAAAGTAAAAGAGTTCAGATTGCACAACTGCATTTGTGAGGAAATGAGAGGTCCTATACCTTAAGAAACTTATAACATAAATGAACATTTGATAAGTTTGCCATTAGCTGAAAATAAATTAATTTCAAAAAGTCCATTCATATTTACTTTACTAATTACAGTAATGAAAAACAAAATTAACCAGTTGTATTTTTTACATAGACCTTTAAATTGGTTGGTAATCAATTTAAGGATTTTGTAAAATTTCTGTAAATCTGCGAAAAATATTTTTATCTCTTTTTGAATAACTGATTAGATCTTCTCTTTTCTCACTGAAAATCAGCCCCTTTTCTTAACGTATCTTCGTTAATATTGGCTGGGGCGGATGCAGGGTGAGGGGGCAGAGGGTGCGATCGCATCTCTCCCCCCCCCCTAAATTGTATAAAGAAAAATAAGTGTTGTATTATATTGTTAATATGATTTATTGGTAAGATTTTTAAGGTACATGGGAGTGCAATTTCCGGGCACCCAGAGATCCATATTCTCAAAATGTTCGCACCTCAGCTCCAGCTATGTTGGGGCTGAGGTGGCGGACTCTCACACACCCATGGGCGCAGATCATGGGGGAAGGGGTAAACGTCCAGGGGTGGCGCCAGGATTTGCCCGACAGGGGATTAGAGGTCTTTGACAGGGGCCGATGTCCTCGACGAGGAAGAAAATTTCCCCGACGAGGACAAAGTGGGCGTGGTCGAACGTGGCTTTAAATGCTTCGAAAGTGGTCTAGGGGGGCGGAGCCCCAGAAATTTTAACAATTTAGGGGTTTCAAAGGCTTATAATCGATTTTAGAGTCTAATATGTACAAAATATATCTTAGAATTTTTTTTTTCTCCCCGACGAATTGTGGTTTCTCTACCCGACGGGGGGGGGGGGGTTTAGCTCTCCGAGACGAGGAGGGAAGCTTTGCCCACCGGCCCCATCCGCTGGCGCCACGCCTATAAAGGTTCCCTCACATATTTTTTAAGGGGTAAGGGTTGGTCCCCTCACTTTTCGTGAGTCAAGATCTCTGTATCTCTGCCCACAGACATCTGAATTACCTATAATACTCGACTCGAGTGCGCGTGCCTTTATTATAATTTGAGAAGTATGAGAAAAAGCGTGCAAAGATAAGATTAGGTTTCAGCACATGAAGTAGTATTTTCTATGCGATTAATTAGATTGATGATGAATTTTACTATATAAGAGTGTCATATCCTGCAATCTAGAGGTACACAATTCCCCCAAATTTTACCACCTCAGCCAGTTGCGTAACGATTATGCGCTCTCACGTGGCGGTCCGCAGGGCCCCGAATTCTTATCTAGGTGACCCAAAGGGGCCCTACCCATAGGTTCCTCGATCTAATACCTTGACCAAAAAGGACTTTATTGATAAATAACACCACAATGTGTCTCTAAAATCGACTGTAGGGCATATAACATATTATAACGATTAAAGAGAGGGGGCGTCGCCCAACGGATCCTCCTCTCGGCGCGGGACCCCACCAAATTTGTAAAAAAAAAAAATTTAATTAAAAATGGAGATAAAAAGAAAATTATATTCAAGTCTGTGAGTGCCATTTTCGGCCATCTAGGTGCCATTGTAGCGGCAGTTTGGCGCAGCGTTTGAGGTTTGGGCTTCCAATCGTAAGGTCAGGATTTCGAGTCTCCGCTGTGCAGATTCGCTTGTGTCCTTGGGCAAGGCACTTTAGCTGCATTGCTTCAGTCCACCCAGCTGTATCAGTGGGTACCAGCAAAATGCTGGGGACTAACCTGCGATGGAATAGTGTCCCGTCCAGGGGGAGTACAACTCTCATCCGCTTCACACCACAAAAACTGGGGATGGGATAAGCTCCAGCCCTATGAGCCCCAGTGGCTCTAAAAGGATTTAGTTAGTTAGTTAGACGTGCGATAATAATCATTTTCTTATCTCAGCCCCACAAGGGCAATCAGCATAATGTGTGTCGAAAATCGACTGTAGGACATATCATATTATATCCAGTGGCGGAATA